TTATGAGGCAGCTTTTCCTGCTCTTGCTGGCTGTCTCTTGCCTGCCACCATGTAAGATGTGCCTGCTTCCCCTTCCACCATGATTGGATGTTTCCTGAGGCCTCCCAGACACGCCAAATTGTGAGTGAATTAAACTTCTTTTCTTTATAAATTATTCAGTCTTGGGTATGTTTTTGTAGCAGTGTGAAAACGGAGTAATACACTGGGTTTATGCTAAATCTTCTTGCTATGAGCTCATACAAATCTCCAATCCCCTTTTAGGAGTACTATATTATACTTTCTCCAACAAGTGCCAAATCATCTAGTTTTGCATGTGTTCGTGTAAGTTATAGTTCTAATGGCTGTTCTTAATATGCTCTATAACCCTCAAAACCATTTCCTTTGTTTCCCTGAATATAAAAACTTCTTCATAATTTCCCCATTTTAATGTATGTTTTTTTTTCCTCCTGCAAACATGACAAAAACAGCTTTTCTCCATAAATTATTAGGAAACTATTTACATTGCTGTGTTTTCATAACATTCATAAATCCTATAAATAGGACATGTTATGAATTAATTGGTAGATCATCTATCTCTGAATGGATTAAAGAATTGCCAAGAGTGATCAAGCCTGCTCTCTCTCTGGCTTTTGATATGGTGTTGACAGCCAAGCAGAGAGCTTCTTCAGTAAATCCACTCTCATATTCAAGTTTTTCCAGATGTGAGAAGTAATTAAGTCATTGCATCTACTGAAAGCTTTTATGCTTTTCGAGTGAGAACTGGCAGCTGTGGTGAATTAGCTCTGCTTTGTACATGTGTGTTTGTTGCCTGTGTGAATGTACATATATACAAGCACACAAGTGACAGTGCCAATAGTCAAATGAAATCCGACCTGAAAACAAAAGGAAATCCAAAACTGATATCAATAAATTCTAGAAATTTTGATAGCCATATTTCACAATTGAGAGGTAGGCTTTTTCCAATAATGCGCTTTTTCTTTCTATTTTTTCAAATCACTTGCATCATTAAATAATTTTTTAAATGGTTAAGTTATGACTCTTATAAAACATAAATACATTTCAAAGATTTTTAACTCATTAACAAGTGAGGGTACCAGTAAGACGTTACAACTGGTTCAAAGGTGAATCTGAAGAACCACATATAAATGTGTAGTAAGGAATGCTGACATGCATTTACAAATAGGGGCAAAAAGAGTCTGTCTCATGGGCCTTCCCAAGAACACGGTTACAGTCATGCTCTTATCTATGGTTTTCCTTTCTGAGGTTTCAGTTACTAAGTTCTAAAAAAAGGTGAGTACAGCACAAGAAACTTTGAGAATGAGAGAGAGACCACATGCATGTAATTTTTATTACAGAATGTTTGTTATAATTATGCTATTTTATCTCTTACTGTTACATTTTAAAGTTTATTTCAGTGGTTTTTGGGGGGTACAAGTAGTTTTTGGTTACATGGATGAACTTTATTGTGATGTCTGAGATTTTAGCGCACTTGTCACTTGAGTTGTGTTATTGTTCCCAATATGTAGCTTTGAATGCCTCACCCACCTCCCTCTCTTTTCCCTTCTGAGTCTCCAAAGGCCATTACAGTACTCTGTGTGCCTTTGCATACCCATAGCTTAGGTGCCACTTATGAGTGACAACATGTGGTATTTAATGTTTCATTCCTGAGTTACTTCACTTAGAATGATGGCCCTCCAGCTTCATCCCAGTTGCTACAAAAGACATTATTTTGTTCTTTTTATGGCTGAGTTTTATGCCATGGTGTATGCTTACCATATTTCCTTTATCTAGTTATTGGTTGATGACCACTTAGATTGGTTCCATATCTTTGCCATTGTGAATTGTGCTGTGAGAAACATAACGTGCAGATATCTTTTTGATATAAGGACTTCTTTTCCTTTGTGTAGATACCCAGTAGTGGGATTGCTGAATCCTATGGTAGCTCTGCTTTTAGTTCTTAAAAAATCTTCATATTGTTTTCCATAGAGGTTGTAGTAATTTACATTCCCACTGGCAGTGTATAATTGTTCCCTTTTCACCACATCCCCACCAACAGTTATTGTTTTTTGACTTTTTAATAATGGCCATTCTGGCTGGGTAAGGCAGTATCTTCTTCCGGTTTTAGTTTGCATTTATCTGATGATTAGTGATATTGAGCATTTTTGTCATAAGTTAGCCATTTGTATATCTGCTTTTGAGAAATATCTTTTCATGTCATTACTATAATTTATGAATTAAACTTTATCATAGGTATGTATGTATAGGAAAAACATAATATGTATAGACTTGATACTGTCTGTACTTTCAGGCTTCCACTGGGGGGGCTTGGAACACATCCTCTGTGATTAAGGTGTGGGGGCTACTATAATTTGCATTTCTGTGGATAAGAATCATTCTCATTCTTAGCAGTTTTCAACAGTTTATGGAATTGTGAAGTAGTTCAAAGATAATGAAAGAACAGCATAGCTCTAAAGGGAACACCCAGTAATTTCTTTTGTATGTGCCCATTTCAAAGTCTTTCACAATATTCCTGACACATCTCACATAAAACTCTAGGAGAGGGACGCTCTGTGGGAGTCAAGCTGTTTGATCCTGCTTGACCCTTTGGTTCTGGGTATAAGCCATATGCAGACCACACAGAGCTTAGCTTTCTTCCGCTTGGTGGTGAGGTTTACAGGAGTGATTATGGTGTTAGCTTAATTGCTGTGAAAATGAACCAATATCTCAAGCTGCAAATGAAACCAAAGTCTTTCAGTTCAAGCGTGCTATGTTAATGGAGACATTGAAAATACTTCCCTGCCCCCTCTGTAAGCAGAGAGCATCATTTTAATTTTGGCTTCCCAACCACACCCAACCTGGAAATTGTCGTACCCATATTATTTGCAGTTTCTTGTTCTTCACTTCCTCCAACATCCATCTAAGTGTGTAGCTCTCATTTGTGAGTGGGATCTACATTTGTGAAAAGGGGAATATGAATATGGAATATACCTTATTAAATCTTAATAGCATAATTGGTCATGGTGACATGTGTTTAGGTTGCTTTGTGTCCTCTCAATTTCTAATTAATAAAGAGTAATGAAATTAAAAAGGAGGATATATGTTCATGAATTCGAACTTGCAGAAGTTGATTGGACCAATATTAAGCACAACTCTTATATAAAGGAGACAAATTGTTCTAGAGTGCTTACATTTCCTCTTTCAAGAAATGATTTATCTCCCCTTGTCCATTATGAAAGTTCTCTTCTGGACAGATGTTAGTTACTGAGTAAATAGGTGAGGCAAAGGTGGAATGACTAGAGATTCAGCTGAGAATCGGGAGTCTTCTGATAGACAGTCATCAAAACAAAAACGAGGCACCAAAAAATGAGTGTGAAAAACCATCACAGCAGGGAAACAAATCAGGCCAACAAATTCATCTCTCACCTACCATTTAGGATGAATATTTTATAATAAGAAATGTTGAATTCATTTTTAAAGTAACAAAGAAAATAGTTTATCTCTGTACTTTCTCCCCCCCATGTAGAACTGAATCTGGATCTATTTCAGTTGTTTATTACGAATTTTTATTCTTAATTGTGTATCACCACGTTGGGGAAAAGCACATGTTCCATTGTTATGAAAAGGAGAAAACAGTGAAATAAGTCAAAAACCGAGAAAGTCTTGTCATAGTGACCTCAAGGAAGGTGAAGGCAGCTGTGCACTGTGCAACTCAAGATGGTGGCGTAGATATGTTCTCTTGGCTGGGGCTGTGTCTCCAGAGACTTGAATTACCCACCTGAGAGTTGCTAAGGAAATCCATTTGGTTACACATAAACATCAAACTGTCAAAATATCAGAAGACTTCTGAATTATAAATACTCAAGTGAGCTCTTATCTTTAACCTGTCTAGTTGCAGAAGGACTTTCTTGACTTTAAAAGGATATTGATGGCACAGGGAATGAGAAGACCTCTTCGTACCAAGTGCTTTTCCTGTCCCTGTGTACCTTTACTGGGTGGTCGAAAAAAAGCTTGTGTTTCCAAGGGCTCCATTATTTTTAAGGTGCTTTATTTTTATTAACTTCGGGCAACTCAGTTTTTCTAACGCTGAAGAATAAGAGGCAGTGATGGGGTTAAATAATTTGCCCTAGAGGACACAGTAGAGCCAGACCTGGACATTGACAGCTTAACCATGAGTGTCGTATCTTGGTCTCATTCCGTATCAAGGCATGGGTAGAGCACTAAAGTAGAAAAGTAAACAACATAGAAGAAATGCTCAGTAAGTAAAAGGTGTGAGGAGCTACAGAGATTTTCCCTTTTGCAGCAACCCAAGGTGAAAATATCTATTAAACTACATTATTAATCTTGGTTTTTTGAGAAGTTGTTAGGGGATTTTGAAACCTGATAGCTATCCATGAGGAACACTTTCTTCTTATTCTCCATTGCATATTTTAGCGTTATTGACAAGAAAACTTTGCTGTGATACAGTGAAGGGCTTAATATTTTTTAGAGAAAACTTTGCATGAATTTTATATTATAGGTGAAAGGACAAAAGATGCCTTCAATCGAAAGTAATGGTGTCTCTAGCTTGCCAAACAATCCATTAAAGAGTTCATCCAGCAACTCTGGAGTGATGAGTGTTTTATTTCCTACTGTATCTTAGTGTAAAGGATGTTTTATTCACCATTGTGTCTCTAACACCAAGCACAATGCCTGGCATAACAACATTTATTTGTTGTACAAATGCACACAGGTCTCTAGTTAGGTTCTGATCCTAGTAGCTAACTAGATCCTATCCTCTCATTTAATAGCTTTGTAAATGAGAGAGATAATTTTTCTTAGCCTTCATTCTGTCATCTATGAAAGAGAAGGCTTTTGGTGTATTGATTTGTTAAAGATTCCTTTGGCTTGAAATTCTGATTCTAAAATCTCAAATGGAAACTATGTGTTCACATTGCACATGGTGTTGGTTGTTTGTTTTCAAAGCTTTGTACATTAAATCTCAACAGCTTATTTTCTTGCAGCACAGTGAAGAGTCCATGAGAACGTTTTACATGATGGGAAATGAGAACTAACTGCAGTGCAAGCCTCATGAAGGTAATTCACCTGGGGGAAGAGGTGTCACCCCGAGCAACACCAGTACTGTCTTCTCAAATATGAGCCAAGAGGTGTGTCTCAGGCAGTTTTGGCAAGATTTTCTACCTACGCTTCTAGAAGTTTGCAAGGCAAGTTTACAGAAATTGCTCCTCCCTATTTCCAAATAAAGATAATGTAATAGATCTATAGAATATTAGAATAGTCTTCTGGCCAGCAGAGGACTTGAGGGAAATAATCAGAACCTACCTGTTGTTTCCTTTTATGCAAGAAATAAAATGTACAAAGAATGTCCTCATGGAATCCACTGCAGTGGGCTGGCATGACATGGCTGAAATCCTAGAGTTGTGGTTTCCAATTTCAGCATGCTTGGGGCAATTTCTTTTTGGCATTTTTCTGGTGGACAGGATATGTGATACCATTCATTTAGCCTGTTATCAAAAACTATTTCAAGACCATGAGTAATAGGTAATATTTCACAGAAGAGTGTTAGTTTTCTGGGGTAGTGGGTGTCATTAAAAAACAAAGACAGGTAGATAGAAAGATAGGTAGGTAGGTAGATTAGATTGAATTGGATTAGATTTGATGAGATAGATTGGTTTCATGTTCAGGGTAACACAAGGTTAAGCAAGTAGCTTTTTGGTTGAAGGTCTTCTCAGAACTTCCAGCATGTCAATATGCCTTGTAGACCTCTAAGTGGCAGGGACAGAGATTGGGGTACAGGTTTCTTACACATATTTGTTTAAGAAACCTGTTTTTCTCCCCTACAATCTTTTGTGGAACTTTTGCCTCATGGAACACAATTTCAGAAATAATTTATACATGATGACTGTATGGAACGTTTTTCTTGTTAGAATTTTCAGTTTAATTAAGGGCATTTTTTTTTTTTTTACAATGCATGGAAAACTAGATATGATATCAAGAGGAAAAAAACATACTTGGCTACTTAGAATGATGTATTATTTTAAATTGTGTTTTGTATTATCAGTATTGTTCACTGAGGGTATTTGTTATGCCCAATGCTAATATGCTATGGCTTGATAAAATTAATTTACCCTAGGATTTATATAACCAGATAATAAACTGTGAGTTGTAGAGCATCTTGGAATTGCTTGAATTGACATTAAAATATTTGTTTTGAGAAACGTATTTTTAACCTTGGTTTTATATAACTAAGGACATATACCATATTATAAATATTATGATGGTTTATTTTTCCAAACTTTTCTGAATGTGGAGTACCCATTGAGTAATAATTCAAATCACTAATGAATCTGTAAAAACTGACATGAGTAAAATTGCAGAATTCAAAGATGATGATGATGATTTTTGAAACTGACGTTTCTAGAATTGTTAAATGATATATCAACTTGTGTTAACTGCAACTTCTCATGTTTAATGATGTTTACAATTAATACAATACCATACTCACCAGTATGAGACTAACAGTCACAGTTAACTCAGAGTAGATTCTTTGAAGTAGCTCAAAGGGCTTTTCACAATAAATAGCCTCTAATCAGCTAATATAAAGTGGGTATTTTTTAGGATGTGAAGAGTACTGGTATGTCTCATAAAACATATAATTTAGGTTAACAAAATGAGTTTGAATGATCCAGATTTACTACCCCAAGTCAGAAAGAAGTCTGACATTCCATTGAAAGCTTTATTTAGACAGAGTCAAGGAATCTGTGATAACAGGCTTTGGACTGTGCTATCTTAAGTGTTAGAGCTGGATAGTTTTCCCAGAATGTCTAAGTCCTTTTTATGCTCTTTTATGAATGAATAGAATTAGTAAAAAATGAATAAATTTTCTCTTTTGGATTTCTTAACCAGTGGAAAAAATGTTGACTTTAAAAGTTCATAAAATCTAATTTTGCCTAAGAATATGTTATTTCCACTTGTGAGGCCAGCCCTGGTAGACCTCTGGGATTCAGTTCTGGTCACTGACACACCACTGAGATAAGGAGTGAAGTGTGGGCTAAATAGGGCTGAGGCATGGTTAAGGGCATTCCTGCCAGAGCCCCAGAGACATCAGCATCTCAAGGGCACTGGTACGCAAAAGGACACCATATGAGTAAATTTAAAAAAATATAAGTATTTTAAAGGGTAAAAATGAGGGTCCCTGTAACTGAGGATGTAAAAGATGAAACTGAAGAAGAAAAAACAGGGGAAGAGGAGAATGAAGAAGACCAGGTGAGTGAGAAAACACGTACTCACGACCAACGTTTTTTCCTCTAAATTGATGATGAGAAAAATGTTTCTTTTCCTTTTTTTTCCCCAATAGGTCTTCTATAAGCCTGTTATTGAAGACCTAAGCATGGAATTGGCCAGAAAATGCACGGAACTCATTAGTGATGTAAGTGGCTAGAGTAATTTCTTTCTTACTTTGCATTGCACCTGTGGAATTATGTTATAGAGGCACAGAGCTGTGGGGGAAACCCTGAAATCACCATTTAAAACCCAGTCACTTTCCAGATCATAGAGCAAAGTCCTGAAATTTTAAGTGATTTCCCCAAGGTCACCTATACAGAGAATTTCTGCTAGAGCAAGTTTCCTCATTCTTAATCCAAAATCCTGTCCCTTATGAGTTTTGCTGTCATTCTGGCATGAAATCATAAGGTATTGAATTGCAGTATATATTCCATTTGAGAACCCCCCAAAGACTTTAAAATGCATAAAATGATGTAATTTGTCTTGGGAGGACCTCTATCTAAATGAGTAGTCATTTTCAACATTTTGGGGCCTTCTGAAGAAATTAATGCACCTGTCTTCCAGAAGAGGAAAATGTGTGTGAGTGTGTATATATATGCATATAATATTTATTTACAATTTAGGATTTATGGATTACTGAACTGCTTGCTAAGAACCCTGATCTAGATAAGGATATTAGTGCAAGGGGCATTTTTGTTGTGACATTTTTTAGCAACTGGGATTGGTCGTATTGCATTTCAAGGGAATCCCAGAATTATAGAATGATTGAACATATTATTTTGTGATAAATATGTAAGCTAGAATTCAAGAAGTACAAGGAAAAATGTTGCTTACCAGGGATGATAATTTAGTTCATCCCCATTAACAGTTCTAAGAGAATTAGTGGTTCAGAGGAAGCGTAACTCCTGTAAAGTGAATATGTGCCTGTGTCTGTCTTTAGAGAGATGAGCGCAATACTGGTTGTTTCTGTTGTTGATAATGAGCAAAGTGATTGGAATGTTTTACAAATGTTTGTTTTCAAAGGAAGTCAGTCCTGGGCAGGAGGGCAGTGGGCTGGCATGTCCTTCAAAGTCCACCTGCCCGGGTTGACTCCACAGTAACCTTGGGAAGGTTATGTAACTTGGCTGGGCTCCACCCCTCTGCTGTAACATTTATAAGAAGATTAAATAATGGTAGTACATCTAAAATGCTGAATAAACTATCTGGAACATTGTGAGTACTCCTTAAATGTTAGCTGTCATCAACTACTCTGTCTGTTACTTACTTTTACATCCATCCAATCACAGTTTAGATATGGCTGGCTCTTTCTGACAAACCAGAAGGCAGCACAAGGGATGGTGGGGGAAATCATACCCCTTCCCATACAATTGACATGTGTTGTAATTATGCTTTAAATTAAGTATTTCTTTATGCTATTACTTAATAGTCATTAGCTACTATATGTGAAAGTTCTTTGTAAATGGCAGTAATAATGACAACAGCAACAATAACAATACTGGCAACAGTTTTTAAGATTTAGTGACTATGTGCCGGGCATTGGATCGTGCAAGGGAGGCACTATGTGTTTTCCCATTTTTGAAGTGAGGAGATGGAGGCACAGACGGGTTCAGTACCTTGCCTGGTTCACACAGTTAAGCAGCGGCAGTAATATTGAAACATAAATATTACTCTTTACTCTGCCATGTTATCTCTCACTGTAGATTTCCATGAAATGTTGTTCTTTGCTTTATTATTATTTATTATATAACTATTAGGTGTAGTAATGCTACCAATTAAAACCCCAAGTTTCTAACCTCTTCCAGCTTTGATCTGTTTTTATTGAAGTATTATAGCTGGGCCAACTTGTGTTACATAAACTGTCAGGACTAAAGTGGTAACTGCAGTTAGTAGGTGATTTTCTTGGAGTTGTTTTGGATAAGATTGTTTATCAGTGACTTTAGAACCCATATGTTGTAAGGGGTAGTGGTTTTTCTCATTTTGCAAAAGCTAACACCATATATTTCACACCCACGTAGATAAAATTAAACAGATAGGCATACTTTATTACAGATGTATGTTCCATGGTAAAATGTACTACTTAAATATTTAGCACATGATTATTGTGGCTTAATTTATATCTTTGTACACATTCACATTTTATTCCAAGTAGAATTTTATACTTGCCAAGTTACTTATTTAATTTTTAGAGTTTTTTCCTTGTTTTTTTGAAATGGGGTCTTGCTCTGTTGCCGAGGCTGGAGTTCTGTGGTGTCACCACAGCTCACGGCAGTCTCAACCTCCTGGGCTCAAGTGATTCTCCAGCCTCAGTCTTCCAAGTAGCTAGGACTACAGGTGTGTGCTACCGTGCATGGCTAATTTTTATTTTTGTAGAGATAGAGTCTCACTGTGTTGCCTAGGCTGGTCTCAAACTCTTGGCTTCAAGCGATTTCTCTTGCCTCGTTCTCCCAGAGTGCTGGGAATACAGGTGTGAGCCATCGAGCTGGCCCTGCTTCATTTTTTGTAGATGAGAGGGATGGTTTCATGGACCTCTCTTCATGGTGTGGCCTAATTATTAGTTTTTGGACCTCTTCCAGCCTTCATATGTCCCTAATGACCAAGATGGAATAATCAGAACTGTGCAGAGTGGTACAGATTTGGACGGTCTAGATCAGGTGTAGAGTAGGATGATGTTTTTCTTAGCTTCTAGCACCCTTTGTGATGTTGTGAAGGGTTTCCTAGACTTGGGGGCTGCAGAAACCTGTTAGATCAGCTTGATGATCTGTAGACCATTAGAGCCATTTCATTCCTAATTTCTCACCTGTCACTGATAGCTTAGGACCCATCGTCTTTAAATAATAGTTTGAATTATTTCAACCACACTTGGGCTAGATCTAATCTGTAGTTTTCTGACCTCTTGACTGGCCCTTTGAGAGCTTCTGAAGTTCATCTCAGTTTGCCATTTCCCTTGCCTAGACAGCTTGGAGTCATCGCGGACCTGTAGACGCTGCTGTATCATCCCCTTGTCAGACAATTTATAGAAAGGTTAAGCAAGATTGGCCTAGGGATCAGCCCTGGGAGGCCTGCACGGCTTAGAATTCTCCATAGAGAGAAGTGTCAGTTTTTCAGGTCAAGTGGCTTTACTTTGGGGATCAGTATAAGGCATTTTTCTTTCTTTCTGTTTCTCCCCCTACCTAGTTTCTGCTTTGCACTTGCTCTACCCACATTACGGGGTTTCCCTCTGCACAACTCACTTCCCAATCTTGAAGAACAGCTGGTCTTCTGAGGCAGCCTCTTTTATTGTATAATAAAAGAGGCTCTTATTCTGTTAAGCCTCTTTTATTTTCATATACTTATAAAAGTATATCTGAGAAAATAGCAAGCATTACATTATTATATAACATAATGCTTGTTATTTTCTCAGATATACGTTCATATTTAGTCCTGTTAGTCTAATCTAACAATATCTAATAAATTCCTTGAATATGTTAAACCTATCCAATCTCTTGAGCATTCAGAATCATGGATCTAGTAGCCTTCTGACAGGCAGTCATAAAATAGATTGGGCAAGAAGGAATATTTTGTAAGTTTCTTGTAAATTAGGCAGCAAGAGCCTTCCATAGAGCAGATAGACCATATCTGCATGCAGCCTCTCACTCCGTGTTTGGTTCAAGGCTCTGTAGGGTATTCATCTGCATGGTAGCAGGAAGAATATTTTCCAGGCAAATGAATGTTGTTGTGGGTAAATCCTTTCAATGCCAGAAACATTAAATTCTGTGGTTATCCCTCCAGAGAAAACTTGGATGTTATCAGAGAACCTGGGAGAGTGACCTTACCTATGGCCAGCCCAATTAAATAATGATGGAGACGTAGTTGATTGAATTTAATTTGTATGATTTGACTTGTGAAAAGGCTTTCCAGATACTTTCAATTAAGAATGCTTGTGAAAGGAATGATCCTCCAACATCTCCATGTCTGTCATCCAGTTTCACCCGTTAGCTAATATCATACTCATTCAAAGAAACTTGACCAGGAGGAAGAATTGACCACGCACTAAATTAATCCTAATTGTAATGGAGACATTGTGGGATTTGTGGGTAAGGTCAAAAGAGAAGGTCAATGTCTGGGACATGTTAATGATCATGAAGTCATCAGTTTTGCCCTTTTTGTTTTTCAATGTGAAAATGAGTTGGATTGTGTATTGATTGGTTAGGAGTACAGATGACTGTAAGAACAGAAAAGCTCTAACACAATGGCTTAACAAGTAGGTTTTTGTTTCACCAGCCTCACATGTAGAGCCTGGACATAGGTAGTTCAGTCTGGGTACCATGGGTGTTAGCAGTCTCCCAGGTTCCTTTCCTTCTATTCTGCTGTCATTAGTATGGTGGCTTACTCCTTGGCAATGACATCATTGTTGCTGCCGTCCCTGTGATAGAGAAAGAAGAAGATGGAAGACAGAGTGTCAAAGGATTATGCAACGTCTCTCCCTTTAAACCAGAAATGCCAGAAGCACTTCTGGGAAGATTTCTACTAAAGTCGCAGAGCTAGGCATGTGGCCTCCTCAGGCCAAACACTGAATAGAATGACTGTGCCTGGTTTAGATCAGTTTGTCCTCTGGTGCTGGGACAAGAGCCTGGCTGCTCTCATTCATCCATTTGGGCTCTGTTAATCGGAGAGAATGGGAGTGGCCAGGCAGTCTCTCTAATAGATGTTGCCAACCTGAGATTTTAAGATGCAGACATGGTTGTAATAAAATATAGCCATCTATTCAGTGATTTTTATTTTACCTAAGATTTGTTTCATTGATCAATATAGTTTCAACAATCATTTCCTCTTATCTTGGCATAGGAAGGCTACTAATATGTAACCAATATTTATATAAATATTCCTTATGTATTTAAAAATTGAAGATCCTTTGCTTATTGTCATTCATATTGCACAATTCATTAGAAATCGAACTTAATTGTGATGTCTAGCAAATTGTACAATTTCTTTTGAATTGTATGATTTCTCTTGATTGTATACTTGTAAAGGATCTTAAATTTTAAATATATCTTCAATTAAAATATATAAATATATGTATCTTTTTAATAAAGACCCAGGAAAATAATGGAGTCCACAATTAAGACTGAACTATTTGCTTGCCTAACAGAAGTAAATACTTTGCCGTTATCCAGTCTTCCTGTCCTGAACATTCTGCTTGTGTCAGACTTCATCAGAAGGCTGTAGCCACAAGCACATACCACTGCAGCGAAGAATGTGAATGTGATGGGGAATAGATGGTGGCAAAAGATAAAAATAATGAGTCAAACTTAAGCCTAATGACAGGCTATTTTCTCTCACACTTAATTATATAACGGAGATACTTTTTTTCTCCTTATGATCAAAATAGCCTACTATTTATCATACTGCCATTAACAGTTTAATTACTAGTGGCTGAGGAGGGTGATTTGCAGGAACCTAAAATTATGGCTAATCTCTGAGAAGAAAAAAAAGTAATTTAGTGCTCAGATAAGATAAATATGTTCTCATGTTGATTTCATGAATAAAGCAAATGTTTAATGTGGTAGGCATCTGATATCCGAAAGACACAGCAGTGAAATACGGCATTTGGAAATAACTTCACTTAATCCATATCTAGTTGTACCCCAGGTCAAGTAATGCCCCTCAAATCAGGTTTGCATATGGGAAAATCTCCATGTCCCATTAGGGTATAACGTTATTCACGTCCTCTAAGAACCAGGTAGTATATGCAATTCAACTTCACATTTGGGTTATAATTAGGGAGAACATATAATTTATCATCTGAAACAGGCACACTTTTTTCAGACTACGTATGGTCGTGGGTGGATGAACATGAGTATATTACAGAGTGATACAACTTTTAGCAAATTGCCTCCATCTTGTCAACGAGTCATAGTTTTGCCTCCCCAGTTTCCAGATTGTGCAGCAATTAGTGTGACAGCGTGATTATATTTTAGGTCCTTCTCCACTTTCCTGACTTATTTTGGGCTCAATTGTCCACCCGGGTCTCCCCTAAGCATAAAAATTCTGGCCTTTCCCTAAAGGGGAAGGGAGTGACTCATTTGACTTTTGAGTTTCAGAGAAGAGATGAACAGACTTGGCTAAACCTCACTGGGCTTTTTCTTGCTGATCTCCAGCAAGAAGGTATTCTGGAATGATCTCCACCACATGGCAAGCTTTCTGGGCAGGTTCAGCTCTTCTCTGCACTGAGGAGGAGGAGGATGGAGAAGCCTATAGATGCTCATAAATTGGGAGGAATTAATTAGTAACAGGAAGCCCACAGTGGCCACAATTTAAGCCTCTTCCTCTAATCAAGCATGTCTAGGTAATAATGCTAATAGCGATCCCTCTTTAATTTCTGCCTCTATTTCTTAATTGGTTGCATCTGTCATGCTGACTACTTATTTTCTACCTTGAGGTAGGCAGCTATGTTTCTGTTTGTCCAAAGGCTTAAGTGTCAAGGCTTAAAAGCAACAAAACACCAGGACACTTGTGGGAGTGAAATGGCACTTGCTTGCTGATCGCACTGGGCAAGCTGGGTAAACAGGAACCATCACCCATAGACAGCACGCCTGGTGTTGATGCTTAACTGGACCCTTGCTTATCTAGAGAACCGTCTTTCCTCACTATGTCTCATCACCTTTGCAATATGTGCTGGATATTCATTTATTTAACTTGGCTTGTTTTGAGGCCCCTTTCACATATGACTATTCACTTCAGGAAATGGACTCTATCAACTTAATCTCATTTTTAAAAAGGGTCATTGGAGTCACTGGAATTGTTTTCCCTGTTCTCTTCTGATGTAAATCACTGTCTTTTTTAGATCCATTATAAAGAAGAATTTAAAAAGTCCAAGGACAAGTGTACATTTGTGACTGACACTCCTATGCTAAACCATGTAAAAAATATTGGTGCTTTTATTTCTGAGGTAAGGTATCAAAAGCTTGCAAACTGGCTTGCCTTTTTCTTTTTATGTAGATGGAAGTCTGCGCATTAGAGAGATGGAGAATAATATTTTCAAAAGCACTGCTGAATGTTAGTAATAGTTACATAATTCTGTGCACTGTCATTTAGCTCATAAAAATTGATATATTTTACTATGTATGGTTAATATATTTTATTGTACATGTCTATATTTTGACTCTAAATTTTTCTTATTTATATACAATTGCTCTTGAAAAAGCATATTTTTATTCAATAAGCAGAAAGTACTCGCAAAATAGTTCACTTTAGAAGTTTCATTATTTTGTTTCCTAGTAGACATATTAGTGATAAATGATTGAATATCATTTTGGAAATAAATAAGATTTATCAGCTTTCTAAAACGTGGTGTCTTTGATACATTTAAATGGATTTAAACTATCTTGCAGTAGGGTAAAATTCAGTTCAACAGAGATACTTATTATGAAACCACAGACTGAGGAATATGCTATATTCATTTTCCAGCTGAAAAATTATGTATTTTTTTCTGAGAGCATTTAGAACTGCCGTTTATGTTGCATTGTAAAGCATAATGTTAACGATGATGATTTCTGTGATGAGGCATTACGGTTGTCTGTGAATAGATCACTTAGATACGTTTGAAATGAAAAGGAATGAAATAGTGTTGTAAATGACTGACCTCTAGTGTTTCGTAAATTATGTTGGAAAAAGATCAACTTGATGTTCTTGGGATTATTTCTGCTAATGCAAAACAATTTTGAATGAAATCAGTACATTTGCTTTCATTAAGTACCAAAATCCAAAGAATGTGATAGCAGAAGGCTTGCACAGGAACTATGCTTCATAAATCAATACTCAAATCTAGCTCTGAGCAGGAAGAACATCAGGAGCTTGTCTGCAGATGATGGAAGAACACAGTTTGTTTATTTGTCTTAGCTATGTTCCGTTCTCCTGTGCAGATAAATACTTGATGTTCTCAATTATTGATTATGTTTCCTGAAGGAGTTAATTGCAGGGCAAAATATTGGAAGTGAGCAATCCATTGTGTTCCCTTGAACCTAGTTTTCCCAAGAGAAAAGAGGGGTGTTTGTCTTTAAAGTAGTGATTTAGAAGGCTTAAAGACAGTATGGATTAGAGGTGGGTAGGCACATAAACAACAAAAAAGCCCTTCCCCCACCCCCTGGAGCAGGAGGAGGCTGAGAAGACCTGAATAAAAGAACCCTGTCCTTTGTCAAGTTCTAGACAGTAGATCCTAACGACTTGTATTTTCTGGAACAACTCGAGTTGTTTGCTCACTCATCCAACATGAAACTGTCAATATACACAAATAGATTTACTTTTAGAAATATGCTTGCATTTAAATAGAAAGACAGCCGTTATGTCCTTGCATGTCTCATTGAAAGCATTCTCTATGATAAATTGCATTTATTTCTATTTCTTCAGAATACATTTGTCAGCTCCAGTATCTAAAATTAAAATAGTCTACAGATTTTTAAATCAATGCTGTTTCTGAAGAAAATTTCTTCTTTTCTTCTTATATTGGCAGTTAAAAAAAACACATGGAAATTTATTTATTTATTTTTCCTTTTTTTCTCCCAGGCAAAATACAAAGGCACCATTAAAGCGGACCTGTCTAATTCTCTTTATAAGCGGATGCCAGCCACAATTGACAGTGTTTTTGCGAGAGAAGTTACACAGCTCCAGAGTGAGGTGTGGTTTTTCTAAAATGTTTCATGATTATGTAGATAAAACATATAACCGGAAAAAAGTTACTTAGCATTTTAATAAAATCTTTTCATTATGGGTGTTAAATACTAAATGATAGTTGAAAGCAGCTGATTAATGTGCTGTCCGTAGTTGCTGTTGAAATCGCAGAAAATGAAATGGACACGCAGGTTTATGTCAGTCATGTGGTACTGTTTTCTGAGTCCCATTCAACACAATTTATAGAGCAAATCTTAATCTCATTTAGACCATTTACATGGATGAAATTTTCATAGTAAATATTAAACTATTCCCTAATTTGATATATGATCCCTAAGTAGAGAATATTTGAATAGCTTGTTAAAAGTCATATAAAGAGATAATGGGGCGGGGCACTCTGGCTCAGGCCTGTAATCCCAGTGCTTCAGGAGGCCAATGTGCGCAGATTGCTTGAGCTCAGGAGATCAAGATGAGCCTGCGCAACATGGCAAAAGCCAGTCTCTACCGAAAATACAAAAATTAGCCATATGGTGGCATGCAGCTGTGGTCCCAGCCACTTAGAAGACTGAGGTGGGAGGATCACTTGAGCCTGGCAGGTCGAGGCTGCAGTGAACCAAGATCATGCCACTGCACTCCAGCTGGGCAACAGAGTGAGACTCTGTCTCCAAAAAAAAAAATGTTAAATTCAGGATCACAGATCTGCTTCATCAATTAGACAAGTCGTTCCTGAATTTCCTTTTCTGTGGATTGTGTTTTACTGTTAGGATATCTCAGGCTACCAAAAAAGTCCCCATCAGGTGGAAGTCACTTTTTGGTGATTGCAAGTTGCAGAGAAACTTAAGAATTGTCATCATGCAAATTCATTTTGAATCCAGAAGGATTTAGGAGTAATTTTCTCTTTGTAGCTTATCAACACATAAGGCATTCTTAATCTATTGCATTTCTTAAAACAGAATTTCTAAATGGAATGTTTCACCTCTTTCTGGTTCATCATAATTTTGTGTTTTCTTCACAGCATAATCAAATTTTGGGGGGTTGTTTTGTTAATCTGTTCTTTACCTCTCTCAGCTACACAAGAGCAGGAACCTCATCTGTCTTGTTCCTTGCGCTGGTCTTGTGCTTGGAAGAGTTCCTGGCACATAGAGAGTGTTTAGTAAATACTGATAAAATGGATTTTTGTGTAATTCTAAAATTTCCTTTCTAAGGATATGCTTCCTTTTACATAATGTGTATTCTTCATGTCACATTTTCGGTTAATAATAATAGTAAACACATGGAAGTTGTTCTGTGCATTTCACATGTATTTATATCATCCAATCCTCACAACAACCCAATGAGATATGCCAGTTTAAAGTTGTGGAGACTGAAGCACAGAGAGGTTAAGTCACTTGGCCAAGGTGGCACAGCCAGTAAATGGCAGCACCAACACATGAATATGGGGGACAGTCTAGCCCCAGAGTCTAGGTTTTTAACCACACACTATGCCATACTTTTTCTACCATTTCAAACCCCCTTTTTCTTATTAAGCAAGTTTACTTCTTTCCCTTGAGTCTCTCTCTCTGTCTCTCTCTCTCTTTCTGAGATGGAGTCTTGCTCTGTCACCCAGGCTGGAGTGCAGTGGCTTGATGACAGCTCACTGCAACCTCCGTCTCCCAGGTTCAGGTGATTCTCCTGCTTCAACACTCCCGAGTAGCTGGCATTACCGGCGTGCACTACCACACCCAGCTAATTTTTGTATTTTTTTTTAGTAGAGACAGAGTCTCACCATGTTGGCCAAGCTGGTCTCGATCTCCTGACCTCAGGCAATCTGCCCATGTCAGCCTCCTAAAGTGCAGGGATTACAGGGGTGAGCCACTGCGCCCCACCTTTCCCCAGAATCTTTTTGCTTTTAAGTAGAGGATACTTAGATAATTGCATTTTTTAAATTTTAGGTTCTGGGATACATGTGCAGGATGTGCAGATTTGTTACATAGGTAAATGTGCGCCATGGTGATTTGCTGCATCTGTTTAATATCAACCCATCTCTTAGGTATTAAGCCCAGCATGCATTAGCTATTTTTAAATAGTCTGAAACTACATTACTCTTGAAAAATGCTGAGCATAGATATTCTTTGCAGAACACCTTTAAGTATTTCACTATTACAAATTTAAATGTCCGCCGTGTACCTGACTTGGCAGTAAAGGAATCTCAGTTATGCAACATGCAGCTTAAAATGTATGATGTCAAGGTTCTGCATGGGTGACTGTGACTAATATGCCCTTTCTTTTTCCTGCCAATATCTGGCCACCTAACCACTTGCCGATAATGTGGGTTACTTTAAAAAGCAGATAATTACAACCCAACACTTGATATGTGACAAGCAACAATTAAGCAATAAATAAAGAAAAGGCAAACAATCTATTACTGCTTTTATACTTCCTTGGGAAGGTAACTCTTCAGATATTTGCATTCTCATTTCTTTGGAAGCACACAACAGCTCTCAATTTTCTATAGCATAAATAGGTCTATAATACACAAATCCATGCAACATGGAACTTAATATGAAAAATAATCCAGGTTGTGTATTTTGGAATCTATCATTTGCTGTGTCAGGATAGGCTACCACAAACATTGTTGATATGTTATCCTTTGCTAAAATAGACACCATTGGGAAATGTGCATATGCCCTCGCAATTAGCATCGTTTTCCATTGCTGTAATTAGTTGTAATTAACTGTAACTAATACTGTAATTAACTGCTGTAATTAACACTGAACCTGTTAATAAATAAAAACCTGGATTTGAATAAGGTAGCGATTTCAAAGAGTTATATAACTGTTATAACATTTCTTTAGATTTGTGTCCATCAATTTTATTGTTAAAATTGTGATTCTTAGGGTTTACCTAATATCAAGAGGGGCAAGAAAATAGACCTATTTGGTAGTATCTGTGATAATTAAACAACTAAACATTTACTGTGTCCAAATAGTATCAGATTTGTGATACCCTAAATTGGAGTTTTGGATGAATTCTGAAAATGAATGACATTCTGGGTTCTAATGAAAAGTCTCTTAAACTTTTGGCAAATTATTAAAGTCAACTTGCAAACACTCTCAGATGCTTAAATTCAAACTAGAGTGATAAGGTAAAGTTAGCTAGATTAACACTTACAGAAAATGCCTGAAAGGAAAAAATGCCATAAAAAGAGAGAGACATAGAGTTTTCAGGAGGCCATTTGATTAGCTATCCCCTGTTAACAATTTTATAAGCACAGATCACAAAGAAAGCTTCTGAAAATGAAATGGGCCATGCCATGAGGTGGCGAGATCCTTTGTCAGGGCTGTTTCAGGCAAAGGCTAGATAATGCCTTATCATTAGAAGCAATTCAGGTGACTAGGCATTGGAAGTGCACCTTAATGAGAGTCTGTGTTTCATCTGTGGTGGTCACAGGATTCTGTTTCAGAAGTTCAGAGATGTTTATGCTATGGGAATAAAAGCACATTTACCTAATTGTATAAAATGTAAGTTATATTATTATCCTGATCGTCTTTGTAGCATCCTATGCTGTTTTTAGACACAATAAATAACCGTCAACTAGAGTTAAGGAGCCAACTAAATCATACTTTTCAGAGGCAAAGCCATTATTTTAATTTTAATATTTGACTTCCTTGGTCAGTAAGCTTTAATTTAGGGATCTATGAATTTTCTGAAAGTGAGGACAGGGAGAAGCTTCTGGGCATCTGTGAAACCCCCAATTTAAATGCCACGTTTGGCCAAGCACTATTGGCTCATGCCTGTAATTCCAGAACTTTGGGAGGTTAAGGTGGGCAGATCTCTTGAGCCCAGGAGTTCAAGACCAGCCTGGGCAACATAGTGAGACTTTGTCTTTAAAATAAATAAATAAATGCCAATCCTCCCCCCCATAATTTAAACATAAATATACATCTACATACATATAAAATATAAAAATATACCATAAGATCAATAATATAAAATAAATGTATTACTTATAGAAACATAAAGTGTTTATCACTTATATAAACATAAACTACCACTATAGCAAGTGCAGTCCTGTCTCCAGGTTCCTAGTACCATGGCAATCTTAGTTCTCAAAGTATGAAGGAAATAGCATTAAACTAGGGAAATGCTACACAATCATAGCAAATCCTAAGGAATCAAATTTATCAGCAAATTTATTAGCTTGACACAATTTTCCATTAGCTATTTTAAGGAAGAAAATTAATATGATAAATTAAAGTTCAGCTCCCTCCAATTTGATGTAATCTTAATTCTAAAGTGGTACTTAGTAGTGGCTATAAATGAAATGACGATTTTAATGCCGCAAGTAGAAAATTACATAGCCTTTTTAAGAAAGTGCTTTTTAAAATTGTGCTTGATGACTCATCATTTCTATGATAACCCACAAAATGATCAGCTGCATTGGTTACATTTATAAAGTCACAGATATATGAAAGAAGGTCTAAAGTACAAAATAAACCAGGCAACCATGAAAAAGGAAATAGGCATATACTAGTTCTTTTCATTTAAGAAGAAGGAGTAAATCTCATAGAAGTTTTTCCTTGGCTTTATAGACTTCGATACCCGTTAAACTCCTCCTTCCCCTACCTCTGAGTTATAACATGGAATGTAATGGAACTGAGATAATGGACTTTCTTCACCTGAATGGAGGTTCTTAAAGGGTTTCCTGCTTGCCATAACTGGTGAAAATGTAAAGATACAGTCACCAGAGGTAGATATCTTGATGGATTATATTGATGGACAGACTGTAGCAAAATGAATTATAACTGGAACAATGTGAGGTGCTGCTTCTGAGTCCTGGTAACCAACCAAATCCATGGGATTCAAGGTAGAAACATGGCTGTGCAGGACTGAATAAGACTTAAAGGCATCAGATGACAGAAGTCTCAGCACAGCTATCAAAAGAAAAATGTTGTGATTTATGGATGTGTTAATAACATTTAGCACATGGTAGGTAATAAGCTGTATTAAATCAAACAGTTGTAATTAAGATTGATATGACTATTGTGAACACCTAAGAAAGAGATTGATAAATTGGGATCTGGGCTGAAGAGAGCATGCAGGGTGTTCAGGAGTTCAGCACTTTAATCCATACTGCAAGTCTGGAGGAACAAAAGTCACTGACGGCTGTCCTCCCACACTGGAAGTTCTGTCTCCAGCCATATGAGCTAGGCTCTTTTCATATGGCCACATAGACACAGCTATGAGGAGATAGACAGAGGTTTCAATAAAGAAAAGGACTTTTAATCTGAGCTTTCAAAATTTAGAGACTGTGGTGCCCCAGACTGAGTTCTCTTTCAGTAGAAGTTTTTGAAAAACTAGGTGAGGGTTTAGAGAGGGGATTTAAACTTTGATAGTTATGCTAGATGACATTTTTTTTTTTTTTGATAATGAGATTCCATGACTTTAGTTGTAAAAATCAGACTTAGAATAATCACATTAATCCTTTAGATAGGTGTATTATCATTCTGTTTGTAAAAGCCAGTGAAGAGTTTAAACTCATGACAATGTTTGGTAAACTCATTTATTCATCTGTCCATTTATTGCATTTCTACACCATCATTCACTATGATAGGCACAGGATATTAAAAGATGTGTGAGATAGACGTGCACTTAGGAGCTTATATTGGTAAGAACGTCCTCCTTAAGTTTAATTATATGTATATTCTTTCATTGAAAACTAGATCTTGTTTTGTTCTTGGGGAAAGCCTGTTCTAGTTTTTTTCTTTTTCTTTTTTGGCAGGATCTTGCTCTGTCACCCAGGCTGGAATTGCAGTGCCTCACTGCAGCCTCAACCTGCCGGGCTCAGGCAGTCCTCCTGCCTCAGCCTCCCGTGTGACTAGGACAATAGGCACACACCACCACACCTGGTTAATTTTTGAATATTTTGTAGAGATGGGGGCTTCACCCTGTCATGAGCAAGCCTCTCTCCTTGACTTCCCTAATTACAAGCATGAGCCACTGAGCCTAGCCTACTTTTTCTTAAGTTGCCATTTTTCTCATGTCAAGTAATTCCAACTCCATTTAACATCCTTTTAGTTTTAAATTTTTTGTATATTTTAAAATTAATTTGCCTTCTGTCCTTCATTTGTTATTGTTTTATTCTTATTCTTTCAGTTCTTCATTCATTTATTTATTCATTCACTGAACAAATATTTTGTGCCAGGCACTGCTCTGGGTTCTGAGGATTTAGCGAACATGACAGTTGTATTTAGTAAGGGAAGACAGATAAGTAATTATACATAAACTAAACAAAGTTATTAAACATTATGAAGGAAATAAATAGGCTAATATCAGTGGAGACCAAGGGGATAACTTGGTTGCTGTCTTTAGGTTCTTCTTTAATTTCCAACTTTGTGGTTGAGTTTGGTTACATGTGTTCTGAGATATCTTTCTCATGTCCCCTCTCCATCCTAGTATGGAGGAAATTCAACATGGTGGTAATAGCTGGCATTAGCCATTTCCCTAATGGAGGCCAAGACTTAATATATCTGAGAATTTTGCCTGCATGCTATGTTTTCTCCCAAAGGTTTGTGTGTTTAGTGAGGCTTATATTATCTTATAGCTGTGTCTACATAACATCAGACCCAATCATTTGAAAAAGTTTACTTTGAACTGTCCTGTAATTCTCCTGTACTTAGCTGTTTTTCCCAAGATTTAAATCTCTGACATCCATAACCCAGAAAGCTCTTTATACGGATGATTTCCTAAAACTACAACTGAGGTTTAAGCTAGATGAACAAAAGTGAAAATTTCATCTTTGGTCAAGGACATTTTGAAATAAACAACAAAGAGTTAGAATTAGGAATCTAAACAGAAGCACAAAGATGAATGCATTATAGATATTGTCTTGTTACAGAGATTTAGGCGAATGTAACTATCATTGGTGGTTTTTAAATATATAAAGTCCTAGCAAAACACTGAAATGTAGCAGGCAAGAATTTATATACCTCTAAATGGAACTAACAATAATTTGTGTTTTTCAGGTGGCCTATAAGCAGAAACATGATGCCGCTAAAGGATTATCGGATTATGCCCACATGAAGGAGCCCCCTGAGGTTAAACACGCCGTGGAGGTCAATAAACACCAGAGTAATGTAAGGAAGCTCATTTCTCAGAATTTTCTAGAGAGTTGTAGTTAAGTCATATCAGGGCTTATGATAAATTTTGCTGAAGTTTAAATATACAACAGCCCTATTCAAACAGGACTTTAATATTTCTTATCAGTGAGAGATACATCTGAATTATTCTATCCACAGTCATTGACACCTTGCCAAATGCCTTTATGTTGTCAGGCACTTTCAGGCCTTGGAATTTTGCTTTGTACAAGACAAATATAGATCCTTCAGACATATTGGGTTATTAAACATTTCCGGAGCTTCCTTGACTTGATGCTGAAGCTCATGGTTTCTAAATCTAGAATCACAGAAGAACTGGAAGAAAGGGCATCAGGAATCAATGGCCCACAGAAAGATCACTCACAAACACCAGCTAGATTGCACCAGCTACTGTTTCTTTTAGGATGTTTGTAGGAGCAAATGGTTCAACCTAAGACCCATGGAGAATATGACAGCAATAGATGCCTAATGGCTGACTTAGAAGACAAGAGGGAGGAAGTCAGTCAGCAGAAAATGTTTCTTCTTTGGTAAAAGTTACCAGGTACATCAAGGTTTGCATGCATTTACTCAATTACCACCACCATCCTGGTAGCCTAGAAGAGTAATTTTTTCCTGGAATTGCAGGGAAAGCTTTTTTATTTCCTCATCTCGACTTCTCTTCAAAAGGAATGTGTGAACTGTTGATCTGGTTCTTTATGCATTAAAATCAGTTAAGATAAACTGCCTGTCTTTTTTGGGTCAAGAAACTCCCTTTCTTGGATAAGTACTGAAGTACAGTTGTCATCTCACATAGAATCTGCTCCGCCACTTAGTCCCTTTATGGAATGGTGCTTGGCTGACCATGTGCCTCCATAGCCCCACTGTGCAGAGTGTTTTCCGCAGAATAGCAACTGTTATTTGATATTAAATTGCAGTAAGCCAATGTTTAAGTAAAAAGTAGAACGAGGTTTTACATTTCAACCCAAATATACAAACATATGCCAATACCTGAGCACTTTTCTAAGATGCTTTAAGATTGCTAGGAGATGAAGAAGCTACATGTCTGTGATTATTTTACGTGCTATTTTAAGGGGGTGCTTTACAAGAACTGTTTGCTTACAGAATGACTGCAATAATCATAATAACTACCAGCTACTCAGCACAGCCATGCACCAGGAACTATGTCAAGACTTTGATCATTTCTGATTCTCATGAAAACCCTGTACTGATTCCTATTTTGTAGATGAGGAAAATGAGACTAAGAAATCAAAGTCGTGAGTCTGCTCTTTCTGTTCCACCTTGCTGCCTCCACCTTAAAGGTCACTGGCAATTAGTCAAGGTTTTAAATGCAGTTTTTAAAAATGGGGAGCAAAATATGTTATCTTCGGATTGCAAATGCATTGCAGGAAAGAATAACTGAGAAACCCTGAATTTCCAGTATTTATATAACTCTGAAGAGACTTTAAATTCACACAAAAGGCTATGTGTTAGAAGGTGGTCTGGTGGTCTGGGGTGAGGGCTGGTGTTGCAGATCCCCACGAGGCTCTTTCCAACTCTATAATTCAATGAAATTCAAATACGGAAGTTCCTTATCATAGAACTGGGCTTATTATTTTAACTCTGCCTTTTCTTCTAAAAGGTCTTTGATTGAGGGATTGAGGGAATAGAGTATAAAGCCCTTTTCTCCTTCATTCAATACTGTGTACTTATGGGAGAAAGCTGTGTTTACTTACACTCCTCTGCCGACTCGACTCAACCTTTGCATGCAAAGTTTGTACATATAATAGGATTTAGAAAGTGTTTAAGACTATTTACTCAGATTTAAAGTGAGAATGATATTTGTATTCTACCTGTGAAGTAGTTGATATTCCTCTGGAGTCAAGCCACTTTGAATAATACATTTGTTGTCCCTACAATATGAAATTTAAACACAAGGAAAACTAGTAAGTACATCTCCTGGTTCAGTGGGTGGATCTGTGGAATCTTAACAAAAGACATTCTCCTATAAATCTGTCTCTGTAAAAGTTCAGCCCAATGAAACTCATTGCAGACAATTTACTAGTAGAATTATCGTTTCATAATGTGGACTGTCACTTTGCACTACGGCTATAAATGACTTCATTTAATTTAAAATAAAAGCGTGTCATCATATGTGGATCTGATTCACCTAAAAACCGTGGAAGTCAACATCTTTGCCTTTTTTATGTTTCCACTAAAATCAAGTCAGACTTTTAATATCTTTTAGAGAACCAAGTTTTATCTGTCTTGCCCCTTTAGAAATGTGAGTAAGTAGAAGAAAGTGAGGGAGAGGACTCAGGTGACTGTCCGGATAAATTCCCACCTTTGAGTCATGGAGTTCCCAGGGGAAGAGTATCCTGGAGGCAGTAGTCTTTTATGCCACCCCACAATTAAATGATCTCCAAACAGTAAAAGAAATATATTTCTTAGAATATCCCTCACTGTAATGAAGTGGCATCACTGTCTGGGGTTATACCTGAGTTTCATTGTCTTATGGCAAGAAAAGGACACGAACACACACAAGGAGTGAGTTTAGGAGTGGAGGTTTACTAGGCAAAAGAAAGAGAAAGGAGAATGGCTGTCTTGCGAGGGAGAGGTATACCCAAATAGGACTTGTGCCTTGTGGCAGAGTGCACCGGATTTTGTAGACAGGCTTGAGGATCAGGTGTCTGATTTACATAGGGCCCACAGATTGGTTGGACCAGGTATGACGTTTACATAGCCTGCAGGGAAGCTGGTTGCCCCACCCTAATCATGTTATGCAAATGGAGTATTCGCCTGGAGGTTTCCATGTTGTCTGCTCCCTACTGTATGCATGGTTGGAAAGAAAAAGGGAAGATGGAGCCACTATTTTGAACATGGCTACTCCCAGGTAGCCTTTTCCTATTGGCACAACTGCCAACATTGACGCGTGCAAGCTTCCAGCTCACTTGTGTATGTCTGCAGCTCGATTTTACAGGCTGCTTTTTGTTAGGAAAGAAAATGACTTTGGGGCTGCTTTTCATTGAAAGGAAAATCTTACCAAGGACTTCTTTACCCTCACTATCTGCCTAAATTGTTTCTTCTTAACTCCTGTATCAGTAGCATATACTAGAAAAGGAATTTGGAGTCAGACCTTGGCTAAAATGCTTCTTGGCCACGCGTTGCTTGGATGACCCTGGAGAAGATACTTAATGTCTCTACATTTCAATTTTCTCATCTGTAAAATGGGACGACAATATCTACCTCAGCAGATTCTCCCAAGCTATTAAATGAAACAATACACATAAAGGGCTTCACAGCAGAGCCTCCACCTTAAAGGTCACTGGCAGGCATTATTGTATTTGGTCCTCCTTCAGTTTTTAAAGGGTGATTTGGGAGTTTAGGGTGATATCATAGTTAATTTGAAACAATTAAAGGAAGTTCAATTTATAAAAGGCCAAATCAACATGAAATTTATATTAGGAAATGTTTAGGTCGGAAGGGCATATCCCAAAGGTTCCTGAACCTATCTTGGTAATAGTATAATCAGAAAATGATTAAAAACAGCCAACTGAAGTCTTTTTGTATCTTAGGGGACATACCCCTGCCAAATTTTTCTAATGTAATTAGAGAAATTGGAGATACTCTACCCTGTGACTTTCCCCTAAAGATGGGCTTATAATGAAAATCCTGGTTATATTAATTCTCATTAATCTTATCTGAGACATGAAGTCCAATAGTTCTGAAAGAAGTCAAACACATTTGAAACTCTATTTTACGTTTTGTATCTATACAAAACTTAAGTGATCTATACAGACTTGTGATGAAATTGCAGTGGTAAACTTTTCCAAAACCCCATATTGGTAATCGATTCAATGTGTATTAGAAAGAAGTATTCAGTGTGGGAAATAAAAGACTTAATGTTCTTTTCAAGAATGATATATGTACTTTCTTAAAATTAATAAAGACTTATCAGTAGACAATTTCTATTCTATCAGGAAGTGAAAAAGAGTAAAGATAAATCAGTAAAATGATGCTCGAGAAACAACTGTGGCTCTATGTGGTTCCCCAGTGAGACTTAACAATAATGGTGCTTCAGTATTTAGCATTAAAATTAGATATATTAGTATTTTATTTACCTCTAAGACAGAATAGTTAGTAATACTTATTGTGCCTTCTGTACAAGATTGTGGTGGTGATAAAATTAATCATGAATACGACAACTTTTACCAACTATAGAATGATTTAGAAGCAGTGACAGCAATCTTTTTTTTTTTTTATTCTTCTCTTTTCTTTTTATTATTGTTTCCTCCCCTTTCCTAATTTTCCTTTCTAGCTCTCTCTGCTTTTTAACTATTAGAAAACTTTTTTTTTTATTGCATTTTAGGTTTTGGGGTACATGCGAAGAACATGCAAGATGGTCGCATAGGTACACACATGGCAGCATGATTTGCTGCCTTCCTCCCCATCACCTATATCTGGCATTTCTCCCCATGCTATCTCTCCCCAACTCCCCACCCCCCGCTGTCTCTCCCCTATTTCCGCCCGACAGACCCCAGTGTGTGATGCTCCCCTCCCTCGGTCCATGTGTTCTCATTGTTCAACACCCGCCTATGTGTGAGAACATGCAGTGTTTGATCTTCTGTTCTTGTGAGTGACAGCAATCTTAAATGACAAACCATTCTGGCCATAATTCCTTATTTTACTCCTTCTTTTGGAAGATTGAAAACTTTTTCTCTCTTGTGAATAGTATCAGAACCTACGTTTACTTATATTTAAAAGGCTTGTATTCTCTTACAGAAAGATAACATTTACAATTTAATTATTTAGTAGGATTTTACATACAACATGCCCAAAGATAAGCATCACTTGAGATGGAATTAGCAGTCCGCATGCCTATTTGATGATACCTGGAGGGCTTCTGCAATGTAAGAGTTTATGCTAAAGACAAAGGTTTTCTCGAGATGGATTGACCCGCTGCTTAAAGATTATTACTATATGCTTGTTACATGACTTGCCTC